GATTATGTGCAATGTTGATAGCAGCTTGGTTGTCACAATAGAGCATCATTGGTTTCTCGTAGTCCACCCCCAATTCTTCTAGAAGGGAACGTAGCCACAGCAATTCTGACACACCATGTGCCATTGCCTTGTATTCTGCTTCAGCTGAGGATCTAGCAACTACAGATTATTTCTTACTCCTCTATGACACAATATTCCCAGCAACCAGAGCACAATAACCAGAGGTGGATCTTCTATCATCAATGCATCCTATCCAATCGGCATCAGTAAAAGCTTCCAGCTTCATGTGACCATGTTTAGCAAATAGAATACCTTTCCCTGAGGTACCTTTCAAGTAGCACAGAACCCTTTTTGCAGCAGCTAAATGAGTATCTCTGGGAGAATGCATAAATTGACTAATAACACTTACTGCATAGGAAATATCTGGCCGAGTCATGCAAAGGTATAACAACTTCCCAAGCAGTCTCTGAAACACTCCCTTATCAGACAAAAGCTCACCATCTATAGCAGAAAGCTTATGATTAGGATCAATAGGAGTGGAGATGGGTTTAACTCCAAGTTTACCAGTTTCAGCAAGAAGATTAAGGACATATTTACGCTGAGAGATGAAGATACCATCCTTAGATCGAGCAACTTCAATGCCCAAGAAATACCGAAGATCTCCCACTAGTTCTTGTTTGCCACTAGTTCTTGTTTATGGCCCTATTTACTGCTAAACTGCAACTATACCTGACTATTGAGGTTTGTTTTTGGTCCGGTTGTTTTTTGGTGCCCTAGGAAGTGGTGAGAAAGTGTTCTTGAAGTAGGGTTTATCTTCTTAGAAGTTGTGAACTATGGAAACCCCCAAATATACTCAAATTACTTCCAATGTTCTTCCTGGAAATGTTGATATCACTAGTGGAATGATAACTACTGTGAAACTTGATGGAACTAGCTTCCTAAAGTGGTCTCAATCAACTAAGCTTACTATTAGAAGATGAGGTAAGCTAGGATTTCTCACGGGCAAAGAAACTAAACCAAAGCTTGAAGACCCCAAGTTTGCAGAGTGGGAAAAAGATAATTCATTGGTAATGTCATGGCTGGTTGCTCAATGTAGCCACATATAGCTAGGAACTACATGTTTCTTTCTACCGCCAATGACATTTAGGATAGGATGACAGCCACCTATTCCCAAGTCAAAAACACTACTAGAGTTTATCAACTCTGAAGAGAGGCTTGTAATATGTGTCAAGGGGGAGCAGCTATGGTTTGGACTATTTGGGAAGAAAGAAATGGGAGAATTTCCAATGATAAGAGTAGGACTCAGGAAGAATTTTTGATTTAGTAAACTAAAGCTGCACATTGGGTGAAAACATTGGATGACTTCAAAGTCTTTCATCGAATGATATTTTGAGGACTTGGAAAGAGGTGGCTTTATCAGCTCAGGAAAAGGCAAGGATAGTGATGGAATGGAAGCCCCCAACCCCTAACTTTATAAAACTCAACTTTGATGGAAGCTTTATTGGCAACAAAGGATTGGCTGGGGTAGGGAGTGTTTTCAGAGATATAGAAGGTAGAGTAGTGGCCTTGTATTCAGGATCCATGGAACATGGTGATACATTGACAACAGAACCAGTCAGTCTACTGCAGGGGTTAAGGCTTGCTAAACAATTGGGCTTCCATAATCTAGAGGTGGAAGAGGACTCTAAAAGTAGTCATCTCATGGACCAAAAACAGTTCCAGATTCTTTGGGTCTTCCGGTATAAATTCAGGGAGATTGTTAGCCTAATAAGAGAGTTAAATGTTGCCTTTAAGTGGGTGAGAAGAACAGAAAATGGAATGGCAAATTCTTTGGCCAAACAAGGGGCTGTAAGACAGCAAATGTTTTGGGAAAATCTGCAATCTTTTGTTGTTTTGGGGGGAACTTACACCCAATCTCTTGTAACTCCAATTTTATATTAATAAAATTCTTTTCCTGCTGACCAAAAAAAAAATATGTGTCAGTGGGGAGGAGTGTGGTATGTATTTCTCCTCTTTACCATCTCTATGGGAAGAAATTGACCATTTGGAGGCCCTAAAATGGAAGGATCCCAAGGATGGTGAGCAATGTAGAAAATATGTTGAGAAGAACAATGTGTTTGATTTCTAGTTAGGTTAAATACAAAGTTCAACTTCACTAGGCAATATATCCTTAGTACTGATATTGTTTCTCTTGCTATAGCATATTCTTTGGTGCAAGGTGAAGAGAGTAGGAGGGTTGCCATGATGTAGAGCGCTAATGTTGAACACTCTACTTTTATGACTTCTAAATCTAGGTGGAGTACAAGCAGGCATGTTGCAAGAAGACTAATGAAGTGGTGTGTGAATATTGCAAGAAGCCTAGACACACCAAGGACAAGAGTTGGAAGCCAAACCCACATTTGAAACCTTAAAAAGTTTAAAACAGGGAAGAAGGGTAATGCTCATTTGGCAACGGTTGTACATCTCCTCTTACCCATTCTTACTGCAATAGAGAGGTCCAAGCCTGGGAAAGTGGATGGGATGGCAGAACTTGTTGTCTATTTAGGAGTTGGCATAGGAGGTTCTGTTGTAGTAGTGGGAACAACTTGCTCATCCCTGCACCTTTGCCTTTAATACCACCCCTAAATGATAGTAGGGGTAATGAAGGTAGGAAGGATTAGCAGGAGGAGAAGGTGGAGGAATAGATGAGTTGGGTGCATAGGATGACTGGACAAGTGGAGCAGAATTGGGAGAAGACTCACCAAAAGTGGGAACTAAGAGAGGAATAGATGAACCAAGCAGGTTAAAGGCCTTAACCAATTGCTCCCCTTAAGGTGGAAGACTATAGAAAGGGATTGACTCAATAAAGGTGGCATCCATAGTAACAAAGCAGGTGCCACTAACTGGATCATAACAACAATACCCCTTCTGTGTGGAGGCATATCCAATAAAATTACACTTCCAACCTTGGGTTCAAACTTGTGGCCATTAAAAGAGAGGAAAAAATGTAAAGTGAATTAGTTATTACAAGATGGAAGTTTGAACCTCAACTTAACTAAGCCTTATTCCAATTATATGGGGTTCAGCTACATGAATCTAGTTCCACAATTCTGCTTTGTTCAGTGCCATGTCCATTGTTAAATTATGAGTCTTTAATCCATTTCTCACTACCCAAGCCCTTTTTGGTCTTCCCTAAGTTCTTCTAGACCCTTCAATTTGTGACAGATCACTTCTTCACATAGATGTTATAGATGATCTTTTCTACACATGACCATGCCACCATGGTTTAAAGTATCGATACACCCAAATCTATCAGCAAGGGTGTATCAATACTTTTTTGGCCACGCATTTTATTTTCCCTAGTTTTTCCAAATTTCATTTTTATACTTTTAAACTATTTAATCAATAAAAAAATTGGGTTCCTGAAAACACCTGTAAACAAGTGTATCAAATGCCCAAAGATACAAAACAATACGCCCAATACAGAGAGTATTGCATCAATACTTTGAACCTTGCACATGACCAAACCATTAAGCCTACTTTCCCACATTTTATCACCTATTGGAGACACTCATTTTATAACCTACCATCTTTTATTGGTATTTCATATTGATAAATTCAGATGGCTGGACTTGCCCAGTTTTTGTAATGATTGAGAAAACAAAATTTTTTAATTTTATTAGGGCAGAGGTAGATGTGAATGTTGTAGATGTGCTGCAAAGTTTACTTTTGTTATTACTTATCAAAAAAAAAAGTTTATGTTCATTATTAATTCTAGGAGAAGTTGCCCCTTGTGCACCTTTTCAACAATAGAGAGTTACAAATGAGTGAACACCAATCTCTTTAACAACAATAGCATTTCTCATTTTTTTTGTTCAAGTTACCATTCAAAAATATATAATAGTATCAGTTTTGTTTTAAAGTTGAAGAGTTTGAAATTCTATAAAGAAACAATGTAATAGAATGTAAATTGATCGCATGGAGAGTTGTGTTTGTGTATGACAGAGACCTCAAGCATGAATGAAAATTTTCTCTTCTCAACCAGATGAGACACTATCATCTTCTTCAATGGAGGTGTGAAAGACCAAGCAAGACCCCACCGACATGTTTTTCCCTGGACAAATTCAGTAGTCTTCACTATGGTGACTCCCACCTCCCGAAGCTTGGATACTAGTACCTTTAGATTGGATTTCCTCCCAATCATTGAAGTGTACCACCTAAAAGTACCAGATCAGATAAGAAAGCAACAAATAGCATCCACTATCACATTAAAAACATCTTGATACCCGAGAAGAAAATGAAACACAAGCATGGAAAGGATTTACCGAAAAGATTGCTTCAAAATAACACTGTCTTCAATTATTTGAGATATAAAAGCCCTTTCTCCACCGGGACAAACCATCTCTTGAGCAGTGCCACCACATGAAGTTTTTGGATTTAGTCCTGCTTCTTCCATGCTCTCAAAAAATGGAGGATTGCACATACAGAAATCAAAACTCTCACCATCCTTAACAACACCAAAAAGTACAGGTGGTCCATGGTATTCCTTCATAATATCAGAAACTACTGGATTTGAAGTTAATGATTCTGATTTCTCAGACAAAATATCTCCTAAGCCTGGATCAGGTTCACCAGAAACCATCTGTCCACTACAAGTTTCTTCTGTCAAGAGGCTCTGCCCTGCATCACCAGACTTTCTAATTTCAATCAATTCTGATATGTGTGGATTATTCCTAACATTTTGTCTTGCCCACTCTAGGGCAACATCAGTAACGTCTGCAAGTTTAGCAAGAACAATATTGATATTAGGGATCAACAATTAGAATAAACGTATAAGATATAAGGCAACCAAAATCTTGTGGTCCGGAGCAATGGAAAATCCTTAGAACCAAAGAAGCCCACCTGTTCCAACAAAGCTCCAACCCAAGAGAGACGCACCAAGAAGTGGGTAGATGCAGTTAGCTCCAGTTCCAATATCAAATCCCCTCACCTTATCCTGACTAGTGTTAGTCTTAGCAATGATTTCAGATGATAAAAGATCTTCAATCCAGTGGATATAATTGGACCTATTGGGTACCGTGGGGCAAAGTTGGCCATCAGGAATCCACCTGAAATTTTTTTCATTTACACCAATGTAATGAACAAACTTGCACAATACAGAAAACTCCCTAAATCTACAAAAGAAAACCATAATAAACTATTGAAATCTCAACATCCAAGACATTAAGAAAAATGAAGAGCGATTAAACCATCATCGCTAATAACACTTGACATAACTGCTATGACTGAACGAGATCCTGATAACAGAAGTAACCCCTTAACAACGGCAAAATCAGTAACCAAAAAAAAAAAAAACGTAAAATTTACAAAAACCCAGGTGGTGAACTCACAAGATGACAAACTGGAACAACGGAAAGGGGAAAGAGATCATTAAACACGAAAAAGGAAAATAAACAATTCTATACCTAAATATATAGGCGAAGGAGAAACTATTGTGTGAAAGACCCTTAAACGTAACGTGAACTAAAATCGCAAGAAGAGGCCAACAACCTCAGGCAGGTAGCTACTCATATAAGAGGCGATTACCATTTGACACCATGGTCGTGATCGAGCAGGACCCTGGTGAGTTCTCTTGTGGCATTGAAATCAGTCCAATCGATCCTGGGTCGACCGTCGTGAGAGTAGAAGACAAAGGATTCGAATGACGGATACAGCGACGCCAACAGACGAAAATCAGGTGGGTTCTCAGAGTATCTATTGCGAGGATGAATGGTAGGCCGTTCGAGTCTCTTCCTCTTCTTGTTCGGCATTTCAGGCTCTTTGGCAGAAGAAATTAGATGGGGAGTATACTGAGGGTGTGTTGAGAGTGTACCGAGATATGCCTATCGAGTCTCTTCTACCCTGTAGTTGTTGGTTGTTAGTTGTTAGTTGTTAGTTGTTACATGAAACTATCTTCTTCTCCTGCTGAAAGTGGGAACTCAACTCCCATCGCTATTTCTGATATGATAGCAAAAGGGGATTAAACGGAAATGCATATCTTACATCATTTGCCCAATTACCCGGCAAAAATACAATGAAATAAATCATAAATTAATTTAATTAGGAGTGCAACTTGGATGAGCCTTTAAAAAAAAAAAAAACCTGAACCAGACACAATCCAACGTGAGTCTTTGCATGGGTCGGACCTGCAGGCTGCATTTTTAGACTGTGAGATGGGATTGGGACAAAAAAATTCAAGCTTGGCCTAAATTTGGGTGGGGCTTGGATTAAGGTTTCAAGCAGCTCGAGCCCAAATTTATATATACAAGCTAAATCTTCTAATCGATAATTGGGCCAAAGAAAGAACTTTAAGTTAATATTAATGAAATTATTTGTATCTATATGAAGATGTTTGTCCTCAGTCAAAAATTGACCATAGTTCCTTGGGTTGTTTCCATTATAAAATACTGGATTTTTATCTACAACATTCCCATTCTCCAAATTGAAACAATTTTAATTCATCGATCACATAAGTATCATACCAAATCCCATCAATCGAATCACTTTTTCGAGAAATACGAGACATCTAAGCCGTACAAGTAAAGAGATCTATTCATTGATAAGAAAAAGAAAAAACGTGAATGGTGATTGGATTGATGATAAAATAGAATCCTGGGTCGCAAATAGTGATTCGATTGATGATGAAGAAAGAGAATTCTTGTTTTAGTTCTCCAGAACAAGTACAAGTATTAGTAGCATAGCAAAAATGYGTTCCTCGTCATTACTATGTTTGCTCGCGGTAATTGTGGCCTCTCGGGAGAATTGATGAHTGCATCTTTGATGCACTGCTAGTACTAGTACATCTGAGAATTCTTAATTGGCTAGTTGTAAATAKCYCCAKGGCTATGGAACAAAGGATTATCCCGGATCTACACCGAGGTATTGACGGTGATTCTCAAATATCACAGAACAAAATGTAATACGATGAGATAGAATGCAATAGAAACAAAGACAGGGAACGGGTTACCTACTCCTAACGGTCAAAACGAGCCCCCCAAAAAAAGGGGTGCCTTAACCTGACATCCCCCCCCCCAAAAAAAAAAAAAAATTGCATCCTAAATGTAGCAGCTATGTTTGGAAGTACTTATTTAGGTTGGGATCACACCATTAAGCATTTATTGGTGTTTGAGAAATAAGCCCAAAATAAGTGYTTATTTTAAAAAGTAAGGGCTTATTTTTTTAAGCCCAAATTTCCAGCATTTTTAAATGCTTATTGTATAAGCACTTATTCAATTTTTTTCTTTCAAAATTATCCCTAGTTGAATTTTAGAATACCATTTATAAAACTCTTCCTAGTTGAATTTTATAAAAATGCTTTCATAAAAGTACTTTTATTAAAATGATTTTTCCTTAAAAGTGCCTTTTATTAAAATGTATTCGTAAAAGTATTTTTATAAAAGTATTTCCATAAAAGTATTTTTATAAAAGTACTTCCATTTAGAAAAGCTCGACACCAGCCATCACACCCTGGAGGCCTAATATACTCCAGCAACGTCAACGGGAAACAATGCTCTCACAAAAGGCACAATAAACCATGTTTTAAATGGCTTGAAACACATGGAAAACATATAAGTTTGGAAAATATAAATATCATTGAGAAGAAGGCTAAAATACAAGTGCAYTGACACAACGCTTATATACTATTAAGATTGGGATGCCTATTCTTGAGTGTCTTAAGTAGTTCAGTTCCCTGAACAATGGTAAAAAACTCCTTCAAAATTGTTGCTTTTGCACATGTTGAAGTAGTTTAGCTTCCTGAATGAGTTTGGAGTATAACTGCAAGGTTTTTRTTGATTTTAGGAGCATGGTGCTTGTCTTCATTGCCATGCCTGGATTAAGGAGTTGTTAAGCTCTTTATCTAAAAGCAAAGCCCCAAGTGCTTAAAAGAGAAGAAAAAGAACAGTAGTATTCACARTGGTAGAGGAGAAATAAACACAAGAGAGAAATCGTACTTGGGTTCAATGATCAGCAATCCATAACAAGGGGCGAACTCTAGGAAACAGGGTGTGAAGTGTGATCTCTCTCTAGGAAGGAATTCTAAACACAATGTTTTCTTTTCAAGGGTGAACTGCAATGTTTTCTTTGCAGGGATAAACTCCAAAACAAGTGTCAAGTTAACTTCAAAACTCTATCTAGAGTTTCATTAAAAAATGGAAGGGAAGGAAGTTGGCAACTTCCCTTTTTTCCAAATGTTGGGATTTGGGCAAGTTTCTATTCCATATATGATTTTATATAACTCTTGGAGAAAGGGTGATGTGGTGTAATAATATAGGTTAAACCCCTATCGATTTGTCTTAATGAGAAGGGAAATGGAGGGAGAAGATAGAGTTAAGGAGAAAATCACATGATCTTCTCTCAATGGAATAGAAAAAATCAGGATGTCTTGATTAATACCTGCCTTTCTTTGCCTTGCCACATGACCTAATGAGAAAGGTGGGTAAAGAAATGTGAAACGTGAATTGGCAGAACATGAGTGGTGAGAAAGGGAAGGGAGAGACTGCAATGCAGTGCATCCAAATGAGATGACAAATTTCGTATGCTTTTATTCTTTGTTAATTTTAACTTGTATTGAAATTTACTAAATATTATTTKCATTATTAGTTCTATTTTTATAATTGTATTAATAAATTTATCTGATATTCATAAATTTTTTTTTAATTTCTATTAATTTTAAAAGAACTTTAAATTAACATTTTTAAACCAATAAATTAGTAATATTTTTTACTAATTTTTATTTGAATTTAATAAATTTTATTATTTTAAAAATATTRTTATTTTAATTTATTTGTAATTAACTATAATTTGTGTTCATGGAGAACATAATATTGTCTTAATTATAATTTGTACTCAAGGCGTTAAGCGTAACTTGAGGCATAAAAAGGTGTAAGCCTCAAGCATCAATAATTATTTAGTGATTTAACGCAAATATATATATATATATATTGTGTATTTTTTGTAGTTAAAAATATATGGAATAAGCACTCCAATAATTACACCAGACAAATAAAAAGAGTATAAATGAAAAACAATAGGAAAAATCAAGTTCTATTAGTTTCTCTTAGGCTATTTTTGGTTTGAAGGAAAAGGTACGGAAACCTTTTATGAACCTTGTATAGGTTTCCTTGTCTTTCCTTCCTTTACCTACCTTTTCCTTCAAACCAAACACAACCCTAGTGTTTTAGGAGAATTCAATGCAAAAGGGACAATCAATTTCTTAGTTTCTCTTGGATATATCAAATGAGTTTTTTTGTTATAATTATTCTAAATATAGCATCCCAAGTTTGTTATTTTTCTCATTTCTTTTCCTAGTGGATTTATTTTCTTTTTATTGGTTAAGTTTTTTTCTTTCTTCTAAACTATTGAATGACAATAAATCTAATATCCAATTATATGGATGATTCTTCATATGTTTCTTTTCTTCTAAATTGGTTACTTGAATTATCTGAGAAATTTGCATTTTGAAACATGAGATGTAAAATGTTTATAGTTTGTTGATTATTTATTATTTTATTTAATGATTAAATGCTAACACTTATTGCTTATAATATTTTGTTTTATAGATATTTATACCTTCTATCATTGTAAATTGGTATATTATATGTTATTTTTATTAATTTATAAACTTTAATTAATTTTATTCTTAACCTTTGAGGCTCATGTCTCACCTTCTTGGGCCATTACGCCTCAACTATGCTTCTAACCTTGTAAAACCTTGTGATTAACAACCATCATACTCTTGGCCAATCAAGTAGCTATTTGGATTTTGCCATAGTATCTTGTTAAAAGGTTTTCTGTTAAAGGCCATATAATAGCTCAGATAGTTTCAGTGTTGGACCTTTGTATAGGTAAACGGCATTTCCTACAAATAAAACAAAACGATATTTTCTATAGCTAGAGAAGATCAAAGTGAATTTGATAGAAGCCACCTAAGGAGGCCCCTACGTTATACAAGTGAGGAAAATATGAAATCTATGATATTTGCACAAGTATACATAGAGTATGTCTATCATCAATACAAAAAAGTATGGATTACCCAACGCCCTACTGTGGCCCACCTACCCAACCTGTAGACTTTGCTATAGATTGTGGCCCGCACTACACACCCTCGAAAGGCAATTGGAGGTCTCACACAACGCATAACACTACAGACCCTCGAAAGGCACCATAGAGGCATATCCATTTTCAATAAGCCCTATGCAATCATTGGTCCCACACGACGCAAAATTCTATAGGGGTCACACAGATAAGATAGAGGCAAATCCATTTCAACAAACCTTATGTAGCTTTAGGTTTCATATGGCACAAAACCCTATACAAACTACAAAGACACCATAAAAGGCATATTTATTTCTTAATAGAGACCTATGTAGGTGATGAGGGCGGATTTGGCCCTCCAATGACATTGTAACACATGGCATCTCAGAACAATTAGGTGATACTCGGAACCACTCAGGCAACAATTTGCTAAGTTGATGGTGTCCAACCTGACGGCCTGGCCCAGGTGCCGACCTGGCACATGCGCCGATCTGGCGACCTACAAGACGTGCTCGCCGACAAATTTGGCATGCATACCCCACGATCCTTGGAGGTTGGCCTTTGTTTCGGAAGATGGTCAACATGCATGGCAGTTATCTCTGAGGATCTCGGACCAGTTAGACACGACCTCTCGGAGATCTCGGGGGCGGTACGTGAGCAAGGCCTATATAAAGGCACCAACCCCAATGACAACAAGAGGGCAAGTAAGCAATTAAGCAAGTTCTAGCTCTTAGACTTTGTGATTTTTAGCTTGCAGTCTACTATGAGAGTACTGACTTAAGCATCGGAGCGATCTCGCCGGGTTAGCCACCCCGGGTCCTCGGACATTTGGTTCCTTGCAGGTCTCTAAAGAGCAACGAAGCTCATCAATTCAGCTCGACCCTCTGGTCAGCCTGGCACCTCACAAGCAGCTCAGCACTTGGTCAGCCCGGCA